CTTCGGTTGGACAAACCAGTTTTCAAGGACTCAAGTCAAGTTTCGAGATGGCAGGTAAGTCGACAAAAGTTACTTTGACGGAGTTCTTGCCGTCGACCTTGAAGACACCGGGCTCGTCTCCAAGGTCGAAAGATTACGCGAAACAAAGAAGCAATGGAAGCCCCAACTATACCAACCCGCTTTTGGAAGCCATCCGCATCCCCGATGCCGGCCCATTCGAAAGCAAAGCATGGTTGGACTTTCAATTGCGAGTTTCGGGTAATCTCTGCAATGTTAAACGCTTCCTCGGAAGCGATCAAAAGGTGGAATTTATCGTCGCCAGCCATCAGGTTCGCCCAGCAGCGAAGAAAATCCGAGATGGCACTAACGAAGGAGATATACTGTATATCACCTTCGTCTCTGACGGTGGATTCGACAGGTACCTTTTGATCGGAATGGTCAAGCTACTCAAGGTCTTCGCGTTTGATATAATCTGCTTGAAAGCCGATTACGGGCGAAGCAATGACTTGGGGGTTGTTTTACACCATTTGATGCCCTTGTTTACCGATGTTTCAATCCTGAAGATTATTACTGATCGGGACACAGATTTAAGCATCACCTCCCATGGGTTAGGAAATCTTTTGAAATCAAAATTTTACCTGAAACACTTATGGCAATTCGCGTTTGATGTAAAACCTATTGGACAAACGCCTCTTTACTTCAACAATAAAGATGCATGTTTCTGCTTTAAGAAACGCCAATTCTTTTTACTTCCCGCAGACGAACTCGTGGATCCATCTCGCACCGATGAACTTTTCTATCGGAAAGCTGCTCGAAATCCCAATTTCGTGCAACTTAAACGACGAGACGAGTTTGTAAAAAACTTTCTTTTCGCCTCCTCCATGTCGAGTTCCCTTGCTATTCTTTGGTTTTCCAAAGTCTGTTGCGAGGCCTTGTACATCGAGAAGGAACTTCGCAAAGAAATACTTCGAAAAAATGGTGTTGTTGCAATTGTCCAAGCATGTATCCAATACTATAGGTCGACATTGATTATTCCTAGCCCTGCCCCTATTAATAATCCTTGGGGACCTCTTTTTCCATCTCCAGGAAAAGGCAAAAAACAACATCACCACGGTCATGGAAAGGGTGAGAGGATGGACACTTCCGCCCCACC